GGAAAGACCGTGACAGCTTGAAAAAAGTTACAGAAAGTGCATTAGACTACTGTTTTTAATTTTACTTCTGATATCCTTAGGAGAATAGTTTTGCAACAGGAGCATTTAACAAACACCACCATTATCACCAATTCTCACACAGGCCCCCATAAGTGAACACAGAAGCATACTTGTTATTTGATACTGCTGGAAAAAGTTGCAAGCTTTTTTGGGTAGTGTTGGGATCTGGTGTTTTGGTTTTTAAAGAGCTATCTTACATTGATTCTGTAGTACAGATTTCAGTATGAGGGTCTGTGAAGTCAGCAATGAATGTTCGACTCTGAAGATACCCATTACAGCAGGTAATGTTATACGTTGAGCTCCACAGGACAAAGAGCAGGGCCTGAGAGCCCTTCACTCAATGTACTTGATTTAATAAAGCTGTCATGCAAGAGAATTTTAGTAAAGTGCATTTAAAAATTCTACGTTTAAGCTTAGCTATAAACTGCATTAAAGTGTTATGTATTCCACTGCTCACAGCAGGGAAAAACACTGAGGTTAATATCACAGAGAGCATCCACAAGTACACATGAAGCCTCCAGGGTCTGTTTGGATTTTTTTTTTTTCCCCTACACATAGAAGAAATAAGTACTGTATTCAATTAAATACTTAACTTGATGCTGAACGCTGCAGTTGCTACGAAACAGCCAGACTTCACCCTCAGCAAAACACATGATCACACAAACACTGCAAGTGAAACTCTGTAAAAGCAACATCAGGCCACAAAGACAGCCTAAGAACTTAATCCACACCCTCCTAGAAGTCCAGGTTACCTCAAAACTGAGTTGCTTTAAGTGACTACAGATAAGAAAATAATGTAGAGTTCTTGCCTAATTAACTATACAATTGAACAGTGTTTGTCAACTTAAGGTCAAAATGGATTGCTACTAAAAGAAAACCAGCCATACTGTACAGTACCTAAAAACTTGGAAGCTTTAACTCACAACTGCAAAAAACAATTGGTGTGGTAAAGGCAACCCAGCAGTACTTCATCTTTTTTTTAACCTATCCAGCTCAACAAAGAAACAAACAGAGGAACCACCACAATGCCCCCTCAGGACCCAGCACCAGCCATGAGAATTACCTGCAGGCACTAAGACAGCTGTAGCTGCCCCCAGCAGATAAATGATTATTATTATTTAGACTAATAGGCTGAATTATTTGGAACAGCTGCAAGTGATCTGAGTACTTACTCCTGAGCCTGTTTGAGTAGTCTCTATGCGGCACTTCCCTGAACCTCTCTGCCCAGACAGAAGCCCCTGCAAGGAATCTAAAGAAAGATTATTTTGGTCCATTTCTCCCTGGAAAGACCAGCAAACAGGAGAAGACAGTTTCAGACTGAAGGGCATCCCTCA